GATATTAGCCATTCTAGGGACGACACCGGCATGGTTCACAACTAGAGTCCCAATAGCCAGAAACACCCTCAGCTTTGAAGCCAAAGGGTGGTCCACAGTTGTGTGCAGCCGGCTGGACCCGTGTCAGCATGATAATATCCTCCCACTCACCCGGTCAATCTTGGTAGCCTCTATCATGGTGGGGTATCTAATCAATGTGGGGAACCTCATGTACTATCACATCTCCAAGGCAGTTAGGAAAGAGGAAAGATCTTATCCCTACCCCAACTTCCTCACTATGTATTTCGAGGACCAAGGGGTTGAGAAGAAGCACTATGACACAAAGGTGAAGCCAAAGAAGCCTTTCTCCTGGTATAGCCTCCAAGGACCGGGCAACCCTAAAGCAAAGGGTAAAGCCGCTATCTCCACTAGCCAGTCTGAAGAGCCTAGGGTGGTGGCCACCGAATCGGAGCCTTCCACAGTAGGGGTATCTTCAGCTGCCATGCCTCCTCCTTCATCCGGGCCATCCATCACAGTGCCATTATCTGTGCCCTCGTTTTTCACTTACCCTCAGACTGCACTGTGGGTTTCTCAAACATTGTCCAGCATCAACAACTGGATGCAGGCAGCTACATCAAAGCTATCTATCTTATCCAGTGTAGTAGCAGCACAGTCAGCCCCAGCTCAGCTTCAGGTACCTGCATCAGTGAAGGATTCATTGAAGGAGCTTCTGGACAACTAGAAGAAGCTCCTGGGCAACTAGAAGAAGATCATGGAGACTTTAGATATACATGGAAATGTTATCAAGGATCTGGGCAAGCAAGTGAAGAAGATGAAGAAGACTCAGGTCTCAAAGAAGTTAGTGGAGCTGCTGACAGAGGAGGTAAAGAAGTTTGCATCTGCTGGAGACCTCCTACTGGACTTGCTCATGGAGGGGCAAGCCCCGGCAGCACAGGCAGCAGAGCATGAGGCACCAGTAGCTGGCCAGTCTGAGGAGCCAGCTGCCACTACACATAGTGCTGAGGAGATGATTCAGATGCTCCGCAACCCCGTGGTCCCCCAATCATAGAATTTGGAGATCTAGTTGGAGGACCCGGAGGGAGCTGACGATACTATGCAGTCTGAGGACCCCACTCATGTGCTTGACCCGATGCAGACAGATTCCACGTAGGGAGTTTTCTTTACTCTCTAATCCTTTCCTTGATCTTATTTTATTATTAGCATTGAGGACAATGCTATCATTTATTTGGGGGGGGCGGGGGTCCATTTTGATTTGGTGATAATTTGATGACATTGGTATGTAATAACTATGATACTATTTTTTCTTTATCTTTATATCTCTTTATTTTCACTTTTGGTATGTAGATATTCGTTATTTTTATTCGTTATTTTTACTTTTGGTATGTATATATTCGTTACTTTCACATTTGGTATGTATATATTTTTACCATTTGATGTATATATTCATTTTCATTTATGTATATATTCGCTTTACTTCAAGTTTGTATATATTCAGTTTGATTTCCGTAGTTTACTTCATAACTTCTTTTGTAATTTTACTTCATAGCTTCTTATTTCCTTTAGTAGTTTCTTTTTAAGTTGTTAGCTTCTTTTTACATTTTATGTGAACAATAAGCCTTTGGTTTTCTTAATGCCACGGTTCTTACCAAAGGTGGATGTTGTGTGAACCGAGTGGCTCTTCCCGATGATGGATGGCGTGACAACCTTCTTAAGGGACTGAGTCCGTTTTCTTTATGTTTTGGTGTAAATAGTAGTAATAAATAAAAGTGTCTTAAGTAGGCTTCACTTGGGCCTACACATTTACCTTCGAACTTATGGTTAGAAACAAGTTGATTGGCAAAGAATAGTTCTAGTTGTGACCTTTAGACTCTTGTTTTGACTAAACAATCATCGAGTGGCTTCTTGGAGCCATTTGTGATGCTCAATATTAGCTTGGTTGTTGTGGGCCCTCGACTCTGTTCTCTTTAACAATCCGACAGCTTGTGAGGTGAGGTATTGAATTGCAAGTCCAAGTTCCGTGCTAGCAAGTCTAGAACTTGCCCTGCATGTTTGTCTATGCGAAATTCTAGGTGTAGATCGACTTGAGAAATGATTGTAGGCTCTCCTTGATCCAATTTGAAACTTGAAAGCTTCCGTAGGCTACAAATATGATATCCCTAGTCAACTCTTTTGAGCCGAAGCCCTTTTTCTTGATAACCACGATACAAGCCTTTATCCATTATATAATGACCCTCTCTTGGCACCCGATCTTTCCTTAGCATTCACAATTGGAAAAAGCATAAGTTTGGGGGAGAGACAAGGAATGTGAAAGTGATAAAAGGTAGAAAAAACAAAAAAGAAATGAAGAAAATGGAAGGCAAAAGAAAAGAAAGAAAAGCCAAAAAGAAATATGTCAAAAAGAAAGTGAATAAGATAGAAAAGTGAAGGGTTTCAAAGAAATCAATGATGAAAGGCATGGAATGATTAGAAAAGGAGATAAATGATCGTCATGGGCAAGAAAGAGCGATAGTGTGTCTCTCTAGTTCCCCTAAGGAGGAAGAAAATGACTCAAAGAGTCAACAAAGTATGAGCCACAATGAGAAAATGGAGTGCTTAAGGAAAGATGAAACCATCATATGCCGCTAAGTCCTACCTTGATCCAAAAGCCTTTATTACATTCCCACAAAAGCCCTATATGATTTCGAGTTGAGTGAGCTTACATTATGGTGATTTACATAAGGGGCAAGCTTATGGTACTTAGAGACGAACTTGTGACATTCCCTTGAGAGAGATGAGCGTACTGCTCCACAATCCTTGTTTTGAGTGCTACAATCTAAAGTGAGATTTGCTTATGGAAAGTAGAGGGGGAAGAGTTTGGGTTCTACAATGACCTATGTAGTAGAGTGAGCTTCCTTGGTGTGTTAAGTCAACTTTTGATGCTCTTGTGTCGCATTAGAACTATAGTAATCAAAAGGTTTTGTGTTGTTGATAATTCATTTGTGTTGAGGGTAATTGTTAGTCCCAATTGATGCATGATTGATTCACATTAGGGCAGCTGAAATATTCTTTTGTTTTGTTTTAGTGGAGGTGGGAATTACCTTATTTTCTTGAGGACAAGCAAACACTTAAGTTTGGGGGGGTTGATAAGTGGGGATTTTAACCTATTATTTTCTCTCTTTTACTTGCGTTTTGGGCCTAAAATGCGTGAAGGTATTCCCGAAAACTAATGTATCATGCTTGCTTGCAGGAATTGATCAAACTGAGCCAAAGGAGGCATAATCAACTCATAAAGGAGTCAAATCTGAAACAAAAACCGAGACTAGGCCAGGAGACCTCAAACGCAGACCGCACAAATATTGTGCGCCCGGGGAAGCCACAACCACAAATACGCGGTCCGCGAAGTGAAGAATATGAGAGTGCATTTTAAGGCCAATTGTTGACCGAGGTCCGCGCCAGAAATATGTGGCCACGAAAGTCTCACCGCGGCCGCGGTTGGAATTATGCGGACCGCGGTGGATGAGATTCAGAGAGTTCACAGTTTCAGCAAAAATAAGAAGTGCGGTCCGCGGTTTTAGTGGAGGTGGGAATTACCTTGTTTGCTTGAGGACAAGCAAACGCTTAAGTTTGGGGGAGTAGATAAGTGGGGATTTTAACCTATTATTTGCTCTCTTTTACTTGCGTTTTGGGCCTAAAATCCGTGAAGGTATTTCCGAAAACTAATGTAATATGCTTGCTTGTAGGAATTGATCAAACTGAGCCAAAAGAGGCATAATCAACTCATAAAGGAGTCAAATCTGAAACAAAATCGAGACTGGGCCAGGAGACCTAAAACGCGGACCGCAGATATATTGTGCGGCCGGGGAAGCCACAACACGGCCACAACCACAAATACGTGGTCCGCGAAGTGAAGAATCAGAGAGTCAATTGTTGACCGAGGTCCGCGCCAGAAATAAGTGGTCATGAGAGTCTCACTGCGGCCGCGGTTGGAATTATGCGGATCGCGGTGGATGAGATTTAGAGAGTTCACAGTTCCAGGAAAAATAAGAAGTGTTGTCCGCGGTAGAATTACGCCGTCGCAAAAATCCACTACGCGGCCGCGAAGGAAATTATGCGCCCCGCGAAACAAACCTCAGCCCAGATTCGGAAGTTAAAAACACGGACTGCAGTCAGTATTACGCGTCCGCGAAAGCAAGAGTGCGGCCGCGGTTAGAATTATGCGGCCGCGAAACCTCCGCAGGGGTATTTTTGTCCGGTAATTTTAGTTTAGTATAAATTGATCTTTTTGACATTTTTAGGTTAAGTTATGTTTTTACTGAGCACGTGAGACGACTGGAAATTCTATTTTGGGCAATTTTGTACTAGAATTAGCTTTCAACGTTAGATTTGTTGACATTCAATTTTGTCCCTCCTTTCTTTCGATTAATTTCCTTGAGCTTCTAAGTTATTAATACATCAAATATTTATTAATTTTCTAGTACAATTTTTCATTACTATAGTTATTACTATTATTATTATTAATTTTTTACTATTACTATTAGTATTAGTATTATTAAGATTATTAGTACAATTACTATTCTCATCCAAACACGCTTAACTTCGGAGTTCTGATGGGATCCAGTGTGTTATTACTGGTATGATTATTAGTAATTGTAATAACAATTACTATTCTCGTCCTTAATATTATTAGTATTATAATTTCATTATTTTATTACTATTGTTACTATTGTTATTGTTGTTAAATTACTACTACTACTACTACCACCACCACCACTACTACTACTACTACTACTACTATTATTATTATCTACTTAATATTATATAATACATTTGAAAGAGCTAATTAAGTGTACTTTAAGGAGCCCAAGGAAATACTAGGAAGAACGGAATTTAAAGGCCATTTCAGATCTCTCATTCGGCCAGGTCTCAAGCCCAAAAATAAGCCCAACATAATCAGCCCAAGAAGAAAATTAGATTTTTCATTTTATTTTACTTCCAAGTAGCTACGAAACTCACGTTTCTTTTCCCTTTTTTCCTCTTTGATGCAAAAATTCATTTCCTTCCAGTCATTGCAAAAGTTTGCCCCCTCCAATTTGGGGTAAGTTTCTCATATGTCTCATCTTTTCTTGCTGATGTTTGTGATTTTCTCCTCTCCGATCCCTATCACGACATTTGGTCAAGCGAAAGAGCCAAAAAACTTTTGAAGAAATCTGAAGGTTTGGCTCTATTCAAACGGCTCTATTCTTTCCATTTTCTTCATAAATATCTCTTCTCTTTGCTGTTGTATTCATGGTGGACAGTCAATTCTTTGGTCCTTTGTCAATTCTAAATTCAACTGATGAATTTGTCTTCTCTGTTCAAAATTCAAACGACACATTTTAATTCCTGCTCTTCAAAACCCTAGCTTTTTGGCCTATAAATATTCTCTTTTGGAGCTCACAGAAGGGGGTACATGGTACAGTCGCCCCTTTACTCTACAAAACATTACTACTCTATCACTCAAAAACTGTAAGAATCTCTTCCAAAACTTTTCTTTCTATCTCGGTAGATTTTAGTTTCGACGAGGTATTCAAACTCATTCGGCTTGAGGTTCGGGTCTCTCCATAACGAGAGAATAGATTCGAGGTCGACGCCACAGTTCACTGCGCACAAGAAGGTTAGATCTAAACTTTTATTTCTGTATTAATTTGTTAACTATCATATGTGATTTAGGAATCGTTTGGTGCAGAAATCATGTTCTTAAATGTGTTTTAGTGTTTGGGACGAGTATGCATAATGTAATTGATAAGTACCAAACAAAATTCTTGTATGAAATCTCTGTTTTATTTTGTATTTTCCGTATACCAGGCTATGTTGAAGAACCGCACCTCTGTTTTGATATTCTATGTTAGGTTGGAATATTAGTCTGAGAATATATTTTAGTGGCTTAAGAATTACTTTAATTAAAACAAGTTCAGTGACATTATGGATCTATAGTCTTAGTTGAAGTTTGGAATATTCTGCCGTTATAAACTTTTTTCCATTAGCCAATGATGATATGAGACTGTTTCTAAATACACTGAATGACTTGGGGTTTGGTATATAAATTGATTTGAGCTATAGGTTTAACTCTGTTGCTCTATTCATGCAAAATGAAATAGATATATGTGAAGGTATTAATACAAATCTTAAGTAACAGAAAAAATGTCTTAAGAAGTAGAAATCATGTATAGTTATTTCTCTAAGAAATATTGGGTACATACTTGTTCTTTAATTTTTTTAAGAGCTCTTCTCTGTTTTTACCATTAACTGTATGTATCCTAATTGGGATCTTGTGTTCGTTTCTTAATACATAAGTGGTAACTTGGTACCATGTATTTGTTGGTGTAGTTTAAAGACTTTTAAAATTGCACAATAGTATGACCGTTTCTTATTATCATATTGTAAACGAATGCATATTACTTTATGATAACGATTTCATGATACCATGACTTGGTTTCTTACATTTCTCCTTCCGTACTTGGATCTCTATTCTAGCTGTAATGGTTTAAACTTGGCCAATAAAATTTTTTTAATAGATTTATCCATAAGGGCATTTTCATCTAAACAAGGAGTTATGAATTACTAGATGACATTTTAAGGGCCTTTCTCTATTTAGTACCACTAACTGTATTTGTCCCAGTTGGACTATTGAGTTTGTTTTAAATATATATGATATCTAAGTTTTAATCTATTGATGTAAATGGTATGGCTTAAATACAATTGAAATTAGATACCAATATGACTTTTTCACTTTAGTTGTTCATAGTTAATAAGTACATGTCTTCTAATTGTTCTGTTTTCTTTCTTTGTTTCACATGAACACCAGAGCCGAAGAGTTTTACTTTGAGACTCAACGACGCCGCAGCCGCATTTCCTCACGCACGTCCAGCCTCTACACTTATTGAAAGCGAGTCATAAAAATATTCACTCTTCTGTTTGAGAGCCAAACATGGCTGTCTAGCAGATCCTCTCCTTTGTCTTATTTTTGCTATGATTGGTGACTAACGTTTTATCTTTGTATGACTATCTTTTAAGTTTAGTTATGTGATTATTTTAGTTGTGTAAATATTTTGACCCAATGGCAACAACATTGGGTAGTAACTAGCGCTTATATAATCATCTGGGCTCTTAGGATACTTCTTTATCATTTACTAATACAACATCCAGACATAGAGATATTAAGAATTTGGTTAACTTGATTTAGATTCGAGGTACTAGAATTGAAAACTGAGTGTGCTTAAGTGGTGACTCTCGTTTCTTCTTTAGGCAATAACATTGGTTTAACATTGGTTTTCAACTATGGTTTCTTATTTGAACTTGTGGATTTAATATTTTAAGCTTTACAAATGGACAAACATGTGGGTTTAACCAACTGTTATACACTAAGTTAATATACTCTTTCTTACACATCTAGACTTGTGGATTTCTTTAAACACAATATTTACTTAGACTTAGCCTTAATCAATTTAAGTCCGGCCGGTTAACCATTTAAAATGGATCTTTAAGGGTGCCTTAAAAACTTTCGCTTTAGATTAATTGAACCCTTACCTAGAATCATTAGATTAAGTAGGCTTTAACCAGAGTTATACTTTAAATACAATCAATTTAGGTATCCTAATTAACCATAATTAATTAGGTGGCAACTCTATTATTTTGATCAAACCCAAAATTGCCTATATGTTGTACTCTACTTTAACCAGTTTAAAATGGGTATAACAAGATTTTTATCTTTTAATCTAGTAGCTAAACCTATAGCTAGGGTTGTGACCCAACCCTAGTGTGGGTATTTGATGGTCTTGAGTTTTAGGGCTTGAATGTGTATGGGTTAGTAGTATTTAGCTTGGTTCTTGCTAACTATGGAATTAGTGGTTGCAAACACTGATTCATGCCTTTATGACTTAGTCTCTACTTGAGAAAGAGGGACTAAGTCTAGGAAAACTAGGCTAATAAGGAAATGGGGTGAATTCAAGAAATTGATAGCCCCAATTAAAGGGTTAAACCTAGAGATAGTAATACTCGACTTGAGCTAATATGACTTGTATTGCATGAATACCCATTTGGACTTGAGAAAGCCAAATTAGGAAAAATCACTCAAACTACCGAGAGGTATAGAGTGAGTACCCGGGTTGATAGCTATATTAGGACCCCAATTAATCACATGATTGCCCTAGATTTTTGCTACGTGTTAGATATCCACATAGGTGGAAGTCACTACCCTAGTCCCTTTAAACCCTTGAAACTTAACATCAAAAATATTGTACTTAGTTTTAACTATTGCATGTTATAGAATAGAAGTAGAAGTAAAAAACAAACCAAACATGTGTGGAAGTGTAATTAAGGGAAAACTCCATATCTAGACTCGGATATAAATCTAACTCCAAACAAATTAACTTCCTGTGGACTCGATTCCGACCTTGTTGGGTAAAACTACATCGACCATCCTCGCTACTCAATAGTAGTGCAGGCTTGGACCCGATCAAGGACGCCGGGTCGAAGTATCGGCTTGAAACTAACATGAATCAGTGGCTCTTCAAGAGTTGTATCCAAATGTGTGTAGCTAAACATTGACTGATTTCAAAAGAAATTGGGGCTAGGGTTTCGGCCAAAATGGGATTTGTGAGGGTGGAGAAAGATTTAGGAAATTTGGGGGTTGGATTTGAAAAGATGAGGTTGAGATGTGGAGGGGGTGAAAGTTTGGTGGTGTTTGGACCACCACCGGCGGAAAAGAACGGTGGTGACAATGGCGGCGACCGAAAGGTGAGGAAGAATATAGAAGAGAGGAGTTTCTGGGGTTTGGGTTTTTAGAGAAACGGAAAAAAATCTGATTTTAAGAGGCTTTTATACCTCAAAGCGGAACAAATGAGGGCCGTTGGATCAAAGATGATGGATGGATGAGTTAAAGTCTTTAGATTACTAAATGAAACGACGTAGTTTCAACATGAAACTACGACGTTTGATCTTAGACTCACCTTGGACTGGGTTAACTTATTTGGGCTGCTGCTTTACCTCAAATTCGGCCCAATTTGGATGAAACATAAAGAAACCCAATCCCTTGAGCCTCGTAATAATTAATTAAACTAAAGTCTTAATTTAAAATCTACTAATACACATAAAATAATCCAAAAAATCATAATGTAGAAGAAAAACGAAAAAGTAAAATTAGGCATTTACAGCTGCCCTTTTTTGCTCGAGAACATGAAGAGTTTTCGTGCAAAGATAGTGAATGCCATGACTAATTTTTCTCACATATTACTCGAAGGAAAGCATTTTTTGAAAAATGTCACCGAACCTTGCTTCTGAGGTTGACTACATATATATAAAGGAAATCAAGTCAGTGTAGTTCTGAAAATTTTTGATAGCTGGGACTATTGGACACTAGAGTTAAGACTGTTGTTGTTGCTATTATTATTACTTTCTACCGTTATTGTTACTTGCTGCTTACATCAAAATAAAAGAGAAGAGAACTACATATGTCTGCAAACTATGAGTTAAAAAATTCCTATCTATATGCCCTCACGAGTTAAATCTTGATTCTTGACTTTCTCGCTTGTTGTCGACCTTAGATTGGATCTCGATGCTCTTTGAAGAAAGACTAGGTCTCTTTCTCGATTGCTTGCTTTCCCGATCAGAATTTAAGAAAATGAAACTTTGAGGAGCTGGGTTGCCGGTACATTATCAAAGTTAACTCCAACTATCTTGCGATCGGAAGACCTCTCTCTTCTGGCAAGAACTGAAACTGCAAACTTTAATCATCACAATCTGTTCTTTATAGTGGGGTCGTGCAAAGCCATCAAAGACGAACAAAACAAACAAAATTTTTCTGCCCCAGTTTGGCACTAGGAAAATTTTGTGAGTTATTAGAGAAAGATATAAATTATCTAATGTATTGAAAGGAAGACAAAGACAATAGTATAAACTAGCTATGGTGAGGATATGAAACCAGGGGGTAGTACCCGTGTTACCAAAAGGAAATGGACCTAGGGGGTGGTGCCCTATATTAGCGAAAGGAAATGCAACCAGAGAATGGCGCCCTCTTCACAAAGAGGGAATATAAACAGGGATTGGTGCCCTATATCACTGAAAGGGAATGTAACCAGGGGTTGACACCCTATATTACTGGAAAGGAATGTAACCAGGGGCTGGTACCCTGTATTACTAAAATAAAACGTAACCGAGGGTTGGCACCATGTATTACTAAAAGGAAGTGTAACCAGGGGTTGGTACCCTGTATCATTAAAGGAGAATGTAACCAGGGGTTGGCACCCTGTATCATTGAAAGAGAATGTAACCAAGGGTTGGTGCCCTATAATTACTGAAAGGAAACGTGACTATGGGATGGTACCTTGTATTACTGAAGGAAAACATAACCAGGGTTGGCTCCCTGTATCACTGAAAGATAATGTAACCAGGGATTGGCGCCTTGTTTCACTAAACAGGAATCACTAAAAGAATGTAACTAGAGGTTGGTACCCTATATTACTGATGAGGAATGTGACCAGGGGTTGGTACCCTGTATCACTAGGTATGTAACTAGGGATTGGTACTCTGTATTACTAAGGAGAAGTGTAACCAGGGGTTGGTACCCTGTACTACTAAAAAAATGTAAGCAGGGGTTGGTACCTTGTATTACTGAAAAGAAAATATAACTAGGGGTTGGCGCCCTGTTATGGATAAAGTGCTAAATCCCTCTAGGCGAAAAGGTTCTACCTGAGTTAAACTACGTGAAACAGCCTGAGCGAAGAGTACTTCTACCCGAAAATATGAGCTGCATCGCCCTAGGCGAAAAGGTTCACCCCAGTTAAGCTACGTAAAACAACCTGAGCGAAGAGTACTTCTACCTGAAAATATGAGCTGGATCCCCTTATGCGAAAAGGTTCTACCCGAGTTAAGCTACGTAAAACTGGGAGGTATGAACAGTAGTGATGCATGATGAAAATAAAATAAAATGGATATTTTGAGGAACTTACCTTTGGTGACCTGCATTATTTTAGAATCGCCTTTTTGCACTGCTTTATTCCTACTTTAAACAAAGAACAAATTTGTGAGTTTTCAAAGTGATGGTCGGCTTGTGGCCTTGATACCCTGAGGAGTTTGAATTCATGGCCATCCAGCTGTCGAAGAATTGATTCTACCAGAATGGTACCGAGTTGCTCGGATATTCTTTATCGCTTTTTGGAGACCTTGGCTTTCCATCAACGCCCCCGACTGCTTCATACCCGGATGTCTATGGTACTGCTAATCCTTGTCCCTAAGGCAAGGCAATTTCCCTTTAAAATCAAACTTAGTTGGCTTGCATCCAGTACCAGTTTGTGTCTGTTGTGCTTATTAACTTTTCCTATGAAGCAAGTCTTGCTTAGGAGACCTTTTCAGTTTCTTTGAGACACTTTGTTCGGCTTATCAAAATAGATCAAATATGGATTCGTGCCTTCATCAATGCCGTATATGCCCCAACTTGTGCTCGGTATTACGGGGAAACTGTAGCCAATTTTGCAGCCATTTCTTTGCTTCATTTTTTATGCAATATCAGACCTAAAGGGACTCAAAAGAAAATTATGGGTAAAAACAGAAGAATAATTGAAAGTGAAAAACTATTTTGTTTAAACAAAACGAGTCCCTTTCGGGGAGAGGAATATGGAGACTTATCTGGAGGTATGTGCCGACTTCAATGAATCATGACATGCATTTTGGACTGGACGCCTGATCCGTATGAGCTGTCTAATTCTCAAAATCTGTCGCAAATTTTCATCTTGAAACTATCTTGGTTGTGCTCATGTCGGAGTATCGAAGACCCTCATTCGACTAGTAGCGCCCTTTGTGGGTTTTTGCTAACTGAGTTCTCTCATTTCTCTACTCACAGTCGTCTTATGATGCCCATATGGATTTTTACCAATAAGACTCTCTCATTTCTCTGCTCATTATCACCTTACGATGCCCATACGGGTTTTTACCGATAAGACTCTCATTTCTCTGCTCACTATCTTCTTACGGTGCCCATACGAGTTTTCACCGATAAGACTCTCTCATTTATATTTCTTTCTTTGTTTTTTCTTTGCCGCCCTTGACTAAGATACTGCATATTGTAGGTTGTCCAGCGCCCTTGCCATGGTGATTTCAACATTCTCAAAATTCAATCAGGAGGTCTTTATAGGAAAAGGTGAAAAGAACCTTGAACTAAATTACAACTTTTGAACTGCTTTTAGAGAAAGATTCTAACAAATAAAACAAACTTTTGCCCTAGCTTTGGAGTATTGGGATATAGATTTTTTTTTTGTGATGGGACCGAACCCAGGGTAAGGCTGCCTACGTATTTTTTTTGGAATCAGGTCGAATGTAGTTCACTAACTCAGAAGATTTGTTGTTTGATTTTTTTTTTTCTCTTTTTTTTTCTTCTTTTTTTTCCTTTTTTTTTTGTTCGTGCTTGCACAAGTACATAAGTTCCAAAAAGAGGAAAAACAAAGAAGGCAAATACGACTCAAAAGGTTTAACATAAGGGCGACACCTATTTGGATAATGAGCAATGATATAGCCTTCGTCATCTCGATCTGAGAAAATCATGCGTGAAAGCTCCGCAGTGGGTATATATCAAACATAATATCTTTTGACTGCATTTGCGTTAATAGTCATGTCTGGTACCCGTCCTTCTTCATCTACCAAGTGCAAGGACCCTTTTGGTAACACTTTCTTGATGATGTAGGGTCCTTGCCAATTCGAGGCGAACTTACCTTTATCTTCTACCTGATGTGGAAGAATGCGTTTCAATACGAGCTGGCCTACCTCAAAGTGCCTTGGGCACACTTTCTTGTTATAAGTGTGTGCCATTTTTTGCTGGTATAACTGGCCAAAACACACTGTTGCTAGCCCTTTTTCATCATTAGCATTAGTTGTTCTAATCGGGTCTTGACTCACTCAGTGTCTTCAATCTCCGAATCCACAATGATTTGGAGAGAGGGAATTTAGACTTCAGCCGGTATTACAGCTTCCGTTCCATACACCAGCAGATAAGGGAGTTGCACCAACAAATGTGCGAGCAGTCATGCGGTATCCAAAAAGAGCAAAACGCAATTTTTCGTGCCATTGCCTGGACCCTTGGATCATCTTCGTGATAATCTTCTTGATGTTCTTGTTTTTTGCTTCAACGACTCCATTATCTTTTGGACGGTAAGGGGTAGAATGGCGATGCACAATTTCAAATTTCTCGCATACCTTCTTCATCAGATGACTATTTATATTGGCTGCGTTGCTAGGGATAATGGTCTTTGGGATACCAAAGCGACAAATGATGTTGGAATGAACAAATTCAACCACTGCTTTCTTGGTGATTGCTTTGAAAGTAACTGCTTCCACCCGCTTGGTGAAGTAATCAATGGCAACCAAAATAAATCTATGCCCAGTTGAAGCCTTTGACTCGATTAGCCAAATAACATCCATTCCCCAAGAAACGAAAGGCCAAGGAGAGGACATGGGGTGCAATTTCAACGGAGGCAAGTGAATCAGGTCGCATTGAATCTGGCATTGGCGACACTTGCGAACAAAACTAAAGCAATTTGCTCCATAGTAAGCCAATAATACCTTGCGCGCAGAATCTTTTTTGCCAAAATGCATCCGTTCATGTGAGGTCCACATACCCCTGAATGCTCTTCACTCATGATCTGCTCAGCTTATGTGGAATCTATGCATCTCAAAAGGTTCAAGTCTGGGGTCCTTATGTACAGGATTTCCCTATTTAGGAAGAAACCACCGACGAGCCGCCTTATAGTTCTTTTTTGATCTCCTTTGGCATGCTCTGGGTATTCCCTTGTTTTCAAGAATCGTTTATGTCATGATACCATGGTTCACCATTTGGTTCTGCCTCAATTCCATTGCAGTAACCGTGTTGATTTCGAACTTGGATTTCCAATGGATCAATATGAGTGTTTCCTGGATAAGGGAATACCGAGGCTAAGGTAGCCAAGGCATTGGCTAGCTCGTTGTGAAACCTGGGAATGTACATGAACTCGATGGACTTGAATCTTCAGCTCAGGTTTTGCATACATTGTCTGTATGGAATAAGCTTGATGTCTCGAGTCTCCCATTGGCCTTGGGCTTGCCGGATAAACAAGTCAGAATCTCCCATAACCAATAGTTCATGCACATCTAGATCGAGGGCCATTTTTAGACCCATAATTCAAGCCTCGTATTCTACTGTATTATTAGTACATAAAAATTGAGGCCGTTAGATGGTAATGTTGTGCAATAGGTTAGATGAGGATTGCCTCGATCTCAGCTCCTTTGATATTGATAGCCCCATCAAAATACGTTTTCCATGCATGGATGTCGTCTGGAACTACTTTCTCTATTGAGTTGACCTCTTCGTCTAGGAAGTACATGCTCAGTGGCTTGTAAACATCATCAACTGGATTCTCTGCCAAATAATATGCCAAATCCTGTGCTTTTATTGTGGTGTGAGTGACATAGACGATGTCGAACTCTGTGAGCAAAATTTGCCATTTTGCAAGCCTGCCAGTGGGCATTGGCTTTTGGAAGATGTACTTCAAAGGATCCATTTTGGATATGAGGTAAGTAGTGTAGGCCAAAAGATAATGCCTCCGCTTCAAGGCACAACAAGTCATTTCTAAAAGGGTATACTTAACCTCATAATTTGTGAACTTTTTGCTCAAATAATAGATTGACTGTTCCTTTTTGCTTGTCGCATCATGTTGCCCCAGAATGCATCCAAAGAAATTATCCATCGCCAATGGATATAAAAACAAAGGCCTACCCAGTTCAAGTGGGACCAGTACAGAGGGTTTCGATAGATAGTCTTTGATCATGTCGAATGCTTTTTGGCAGTCGTCCGTCCATTTAACAGCGACATCCTTTTTCAACAACTTAAAGACGGGCTTGCACGTGGTTGTGAGTTGAGCCATGAACCTACTGATGTAGTTCAACCTCCCGAGAAAACTCATGACTTCTGTTTTGTTTTTCAGTGGTGGTAGATCTCAAATGGATTTTTATCTTAGACTGATCTAATTCGGTGCCTCTCCGACTGACTATAAAATTGAGGAGTTTCCCAGATGGAACCCCAAATGCGCACTTGGCTAGATTGAGCTTAAGGTCATACCTTCGCAGTCATTCAAAGAACTTTTTAAAATTGAGCACATGATCATCCTGTGTCTTTGACTTTATGATAACATCATCGACATATACTTCAATCTCTTTGTGCATTATGTCTTGCTAAATGGTGGTCATGGCCCTCATGTAAGTTACCCCTGCATTCTTCAAACCGAATGGCATGACCCTGTAACAATAAGTACCCCATGGAGTAGTGAAAGCGATCTTTTCTGCATCATCCTCATCCATTTGAATCTGATGGTACCCAACATAGCAATCCACGAAAGATTCTATCTCATTCTTTGCGCAATTATCTACAAGGATGTGGATGTTTGGTAAAGGAAAGTTATCCGTTGGACTTGCTTTGTTCATGTCTCTATCGTCAACACAGACTCTGGTTTTTCCATCCTTCTTTGTCATAGGCACAACATTTGCCACCCAGGTGTATCGAACAACTCTGACCACATTGGCACTCAGTTGCTTCATTATTTCTTCTTTGATTTTATCATCATGTTCGTTTTAAATTTTTTTGCTGCTTTTGTTCGACTGGTGGAAAATCAGGATACGTGGGGGATCATATGAACCAAAAAATCAACACTTAAACCTGACTTATCATCATAAGACCGAGCAAATACATCTCTGTATTCAAATAAAAGTTGAATCAACGCATCTCTAGTTTTTTGTTCAGTGTGAATGCTTATCTTTGTTTCTCTAAATTCTTCACGACTTCCAATATTAATCGGCTTAGTTTCATTAAGGTTTGGCTTAGGCTTGTTTTCAAATTGTTCCAATTCTCTTTTTATTTCCTCAACAGCCTCATCTTCATCATATCGAACCTCTTGATGTATCATTTCGAAATGAGACAGCTTTTTAAGATCTGGGTGTGAATTCCGCATGCATGTCATATTATTAAAGCCGGCATTAACAAAACTAAAACGGAAACAAAATGACAAGGAATTAGAAAAAAGGAAAATATATAGAACTTAATACGAAACTGAACTGCATTTTTATTGAATTTGAAAGGATAGAAGGGTTAACATCAAAACAAAACAATCATACTGAGATGTTTGTATTGCAACCCTGAAAGTAACCCAAATACTAAAACGAAGCTGCAAAAGCAAACTACCAAGACTCCTTCCTTGTGGGGAGAAAAGCTGCTTCCTAGTTGTTGAACATGGTGTCTGGGCCAATTAGTTGTATATCGCCACGACTAGTGCCTTCACCAGCCTTTATCATATTCAATTCAGAAAACATCTTGCTGAGTCCACGGAAAATTTCATCAATGTTTTCCTGCACCGAGGAATGACCCTCTTGGAGTCGTGGCTTGACAAAAGTGTAGAAAATGTGAGGGATCAGTTTCTACAAGACCCACCCATACTTTTTGCGGTTCTTGGATTTGTCTTCATCTAATTTTCTTGACCTAAAATCTAAGCCAAAGTACCCTTGTTACTGAACGCAGAAATGGGTTCCGAAATTCCTTGCAATGATTCCCCCAAGCCTTTTCCTGGTTCATAACCTTGTCTCGGCATAAGTGCAGCCACCATTACAAATGCGGAGGAAAGACGAGGATGTAGAATGGTATTTCCTTCATCAACATGGTCCACAACAACCACTTCGAAGGCCTGATAATAATGGACTCACACCCTCCCTTGGCCTCAATACACGGGAGTAACGGGTCTTTATAAATGGATGACTCGCTTCTCTGTGGACAATAATTTCTTGCTTGTTATGTTCGAACTTGAGCATCTGATGCAAGGTGGATGGCATAGCTCGAGCCATATGGATTCATGGCCTTCCAAGGAGAAAGTTATAAGAAATTTCCATGTCCACTACTTGGAAGACAATATCAAAATCGATCGGCCCAATTGTCATTTTAAGGTTGATCTCCCCAATGGTATCACTCGGTGAGCCATCAAAAGATCAAATGCGGACATTGCTGGGTCGGATTCTGTCTGTATTGATTTTTGTCCTTTACAAGGTAGAGAGAGGGCATACATCTACACTCGAGCCTCCATCAACCATGACTCGCTTTACATAGTGCCCCTCACATTTGATAGACAGTTGCAAGGCCCTATTATTCCCAGCTCCCTCCTCGGGGAGTTCATCTTCAGTTAAGGAGATTCTGGTCACCTCAAAAAATCTATTGACCATCTTCTCTAACTAATTCATTGTTGTCTTCTCTGAGACATGTGCCTCATTCAGGATCTTGATTAGTACACGAGCATGCTCTTCTCAATGTATGAGCAGAGATAGTAGAGAGATTTGAGCGGGAGTCTTTCTCAACTAATCAATGATTGAGTAATCCTGAACTTACTCTTTCGCCTCTCCTTCAGTAACTGGTTTCTTTACTGGAATTTGGCCTTCTCTGATTTCCTTGGCCTTCCTCAACTCTTCTGGAGAGTAACACCTCCCTGATCGAGTCAAACCTCCAGTTTCCCCCACTTCTTCTATGATTTCCTTGCCTTTACAGGTCACCACAATTTTGTTATAGTTCGAAGGAATAGTTTTCGTGTTTGTGACACGGGGTTGTATGGTGGGCTTGATTATGATCGGCTCTTTTATACCTTTTGTACCTCCCTATTCTGCCTTGAGACGGGGTGGCCTCCCAGGAAATACAACCTCGGGCTTGGGATACTGGAGCGGGCTTCCAACCTCGATATTTTTGGATAATATAAAGTTGCCTTCTCTGAAATCTGGGCGCCTTTTACAATCAATGGCACATCTCGGCTTGAACTTACTTCCAGTCTTGTTCCTTCTTGAATCGTTCCCACTTTCATTTCTGCTCGACCAACCGCCTTATATTCTTCATCTCGGACAATCGTTCCCACGAAATTAACATCATTGTGTGCTGGCAATGGGTTGTTTGTAACATTAGGAGGGTCTTTGCCATTTGTTACCTCAATCAAATTTTCAGCGATCAGTCTTTTTATGGCTCTTTTCAGAGTCCAACAATCATCAGTGCTATGGCCCGGGGCACCTAAATGATATTCACATCTAGCATATGCTTGAAATCCATATAAATCGGGATGCATAAGGAAGGGAGCGATGGGTCCAATCACGCCCATCTGCTTCAGCTTTTGGAACAGGCTAGAGTTTGATTCATCCAATGGAGTGAATCCCACAGAGCATTGAGGAATTTGCGGGGGATAATAATGTTGAGGGTAGCTGGACTGTCCCTGCTGAACTTGCACAAAAGGGTGCGAAGCCCCTCTTTGAACTTCCCTGGACCCCGAGGTCATCATGGACCCTTCAATTGATGGCATACTCTCTAAAGCTTTCAGTCGGCTTTTTCTTCATATTGGACAGGGAATTACGATCTGGCGCAATATATTATATTGAAATTGGTTGACGAAGGCCTATGCCATGTCGTCCCAAACATGCTAGTGGGATATATCTTCGTCAATGAGCCATTCAAAGGCTACCCCTACCAGACTCTCCCCAAAATAAGCCATCAACAATTCTTCTTTTCCTCCTGCACCCCTCAGCTGGTTGCAGTACCTTTTCAAGTAGGCGATCGGGTCGCCGTGTCCATCTTATTTCTCAAATTTCGAGGTTAAACCCTAGTGGTAAATGGAAGTGAGGGAACATGCATAGATCACTGAATAAAACACTTTTGTGACCACCTAGTCCTTGTATGTTCTTTATGTTCTGCTCGAGACTTTTCATTTTTTTGGCCATCTCATCTAGCTCACCCGTCTTGGCAGCCTTTTCAGTTTCCACTAGTGACTCGCACTGAGGAGTCTGATTGTATGGAGTCGAGACCCTGAAAGTCATATTTGGATAGTATTATTGGCCATCATAAGCATGAGATGGTGGCTCATTATTTGGCCTCTTCACGGGAGGTGGTGGCGGGATTGTGTACATCGGCGCACCAGACACGACGAGAGGTATGTTCCTAACCAGTGCAGAAGGATGCCGCACATTGGAGGTACCAGGGGCGAACGGGAAACTGTATTTGGGCACTGATGACATCCACAACACACCTCAATAAGAGATATGATACAGATATATGCAATATAAATTACCCAACTATGATTCGGGGTCGAATCCACATGGATTTATAAGGGGTATTAGGAGTATATACTTGAAGAACGTGATTGAATTAACTAAATTTGCACTTTCACAAAAAGTTTTGATTTCTACTTCTACTATAACTCTAAAAATTGTAAGCTAAGGAAGAAAAACTAGAAATGAACGATTGTTTTTGGTGCTTTTCCGAATAGTAAAAAAAAGCCTAGGGATGTGACCATAACTTATCGCCTAATGGGTTAAAGACGTTAATACTTGTTTTGTTGATTGTGGTGTATTATAGTCTCAACTCAACATTACCCACTCAATAACTCTCGGTCAAAGAGTGATTTTGCCCAATTTGGCTTTCTCAAGTCCAACTGGGTATCAAACAAAATAGTTGATATGAGCTCAAGTCGGGTTCTTACTATCTCTAGTTTGAACTCTTTAATTGGGCTAATCAAACTCTCAACTAGCCGAATTCCTTGTTAGCCAAGTTATCCTAGACTAGGTCCATCTTTCTCAAGTAGAGACTAAGTTAAAAAGGCACGAATCAATGTTTGCAACCATTAATTCAACAATTGAAGCATGAACTAAGCTAAATAATCAACACTCAATCATAAACAAGCATTAAATTAAATACCCATAAGGTTTACACACTAGGGTTGGGTCACAATCCTAGTAAGAATCTACCTGCTCATAATGGGAATTGAAGAAAATAAAGAAGTAAAGCTAATTAAACTCATAGTCAAAGATTAAAATGATAAAATTTAATGTTTAAACACTAAAATAATCACAAACTTCCTAAAATAGAAAAGGTAACGACTACATCAGCTCAAAATTTCAAAACTTGACCTAAAAGTGTGAAACTCGTCTATTTATAGTGGGTCAAAATTCGCTAACAAAAATGCCCTTCGGGAAGTTCTGCACCCGCACAATTGCATGTGCGGTCCACATATTTCTTCAATTGGTAGGAAATGAGATTCTGCAGCCGCACATTTCTGGATTTCGGTTGCGAAGTATCTTCTGCGGCCGCACAATTCTTGTGCGGTCGCACTTCAGCAAGGCGTCATGACTTGGTCTTTTGCAGACTCTCTGACTTTGAATCATTTGTCAGTGAAAACCCTGTTCTGCGGCGGCACAATTCATGTGCGGTCTGCATATTGGACAAAGTTCTGTTGGGTGCCTTTACATGGTTTGCGGTCGCAAATGGAATTCTGCGGTCTGCAATTTCTTCTGCGGATCGCACTTCTTTGATTCTTCGTCCTTTATTGCCTTGTGATTCGGAACACTTCTTTGTGAGTTGGATTTCATCATGGGAGACCAAATTTCTAACATTCCTGCAATTTGCACAATTTTATTAGTTTCGAGAACATAACCAATACTTTCGGACTAAAACAAAAGCAAAAAGGTGCTAATATGTAGTCAAAATCCCCACTTATCAGGCACATACCCTAGTGGTATAATGTGATTACTCG